TGAACAACGAGTAGGCGGGTCGCGCAGGCGCAGCAACTCTTGGCCACGCCGCCAGAGACGGCCTCAGGTGAGACGGCGTCAGGTGGGGAGCTTCGTCCTTTTCATCTGTGGGGCAGGGGCAGCGAGTTCATGCCCTCGTGTGTGCGGTTAGACGCCAGACCAAGCTCGGGGCTGAGGGGTGGACTCCGGGAGGGGTACCGAGTGGGGTTGGGGGCGGACTCGATCGACCTCTGTCCTCAGAGCGGGATGCAGTGACACCCCTGGACGACCATGGCAGCGGCCGACGAGCTGGCTTTCCACGGTGAGTGCAGCTGCGACCTGGCTCGACCTTCTAGTCCCTCCGCTGGCCAGAATTTCCTATCCAGGTCCCACCTCATATCACGAGCCGCAGTCAGTTGTGAACCCCGACCCCAGCCACGAAACCCAGCCCTAACTCGAAGCCCGCTTCATCCCTGAACTCAGACCACAAACCCGGACCGCCACTCCAAATCAGACTCCATCCCAGAACCAGCCCTCATTTGTCACCCCAAATCCCCAAAATCGAGGAAGCTGGGCCCTGAATTGGGGAGAACACTTGAGGTGGCCATGGTTAGAGTCATGGACCCCAGGTGAGCCATGGGCCAAACTAAATTGTCTTGACCTCCCAAACATGCCTGTGTCCCATAATTGTTCTCGATAGAGTTTGAGGAAGCCACTAATCTGCTGGCTGAGACCCCAGATGCGGCCACCACCAGCAGAAGTGATGAGCTGACCCCACAGGGGCACGTGGCTGTGGCCATGGGCTCGGATGGCAGCTATGGAGCTGAGAATGAAGTGGAGGAGAGTGACAAGACCGCGGTGAGTCCCTGTGCCCTGCCTCTGTTCAGCGCCCAGTTGACCCAGGCTGGAAGGGCAAGCACTGAAAGCCTGCGCTGTGCAGCTTCTACAGGAGGAGAAGCAGCAGCCCGGGTTCTGGACCTTTGGCTACTATCAGAGCTTCTTTGATGTGGACACCTCACAGGTCAGGCCCGGGAAGCTGGTGGGATGGGGCTCGGAGTCACGCTTGGGGTTCACCTATTCACTGAGCACTGTGTACCAGGCCCTGGGCAGGTTGCTGGGGATACACATGTAGGGGAACAAGAGTTTCCCCCCAGGCTTGCAGAAGTTAACTGGTGTGCAGTAAGGATTGTGGTGTGGTGACTCGGGCTTTAGGTAATACAGCGGATGCACATGATAGGATGACTTAGAGAAAGGTTTTCTCAAGAAAGTGAGGAGTTTGCTGAGACTTAAAGGAGAAGGAAGACTTGGCTGGGCAGAGTGGAAGGCAGCATAAGTATGTTTCAGGCACAGAAAACATCATGTACAGTGGACCAAAGATGGAGGAAGGCATGAACTATCACAGAAGCTACCTGTCAATCTGGTTGGAGAGTGAGAGGTGGAGGATAGGCAGGTAGAAGCCAGATCACAGAGGGCCTTGTGAGCTATGGTAAGGAATTTGGGTTTTATCCCGGGGGTGCTCTTGGGAGTCATGGAGAAGAGAGGATTGAGTGGAATGAGGAGATAGGCAATGTGGAAGGTGCATCAGAGGCCCCAGGCCAGGGCAGGAGATGGTAAACCAGGGCTGCCGAGTAGAGGACCTATTGGAGATGTGGGAAGGAAAATGCCCAGGACTTGTTGACGTTCCTTACTGGGGTTGGGGGAGGCAACAAGGACAGCCTAGTAAAGAGGAAGGTGGCAGGCCTGGAAGTTGTCAGAGTGGTGGGACACTGGAATACTGAGTGGAGGCTGGCCAGGGGAAGGGCCTCCAGGCCATGTGAACAGCCTATCAATCCTAGAGAGAAGAGCCGATTCCTTTCAGTATGGAGAGAGGTGGAAGGGCAGCAGAGAGGGAGCCTCTAAGGTTGGGGCAGGAGCTTGGCCTCTTTCCTCTGTGGGTGGTGAGGAGCCCCGACAGGTTTCCATCCTGGGCCCTGGATGTGCCCCCCAGGTCCTGGACCGGATCAAAGGCTCACTGCTGCCCCGACCTGGCCACAACTTTGTACGGCACCATCTGCGGAATCGGCCTGACCTATATGGTGAGTAAGGTTGTGCTTTAAGCTCTTTCAATTATTCATTTAGCAGATGGGGACTGAGAGCCTGGAGTATAGCTGAGAAGAAAGCAGAGTCACTCATGGAGAGCATGGAATTTACACTGTTCAGTGAGACAGAGACATAAAAGGTTGCAGAGGGTGACGGGGTTAGGAAGAGAAGCAGTTGGTCTACAGGATGAGAGTGGCTACTTTACATGGGTTGGTCACCCTCTGAGAAGGGTGAAGGAATGAGCCTTATTGGTGTCAGGATTGGGGTTGGAAAGACCTAGGGAAAAAAGGCTGTAAACTCTGGCAGAAACACCTGAACCGGAGGGCAGCACTGTCATTAGAGCAGAGTGAGGTGCCAAGAGGCCATCGAGGTGACAGATTACAGGCCTCCTAAGCTTTGGTGAGAAGGGATCTGGGATCTTAGGTAAGTGTTCTTAGGTGCCCTCTGGCCACTGTGGGGGATGAGGGCGGATGACAGGAGACCAGGGAAGATGTGCCCGCCGTGGTCCAGCTGCGGGATGGTGTTGGGGCCTGGCCCGGGGGGAGAGGACTGGTTGGATTTAGGCCTATGCCTTGAAGGTAAAGCTGACAGAATTCGCCGACTCCCTAGATGTGTGGTGGAGAGGCACCAAAGAGGGCACCAAGGTTTTTTCCTGGACTATGAGAAAGATGGAGTTGTTATTTATTCATGGGAAAAGCTGGGCAGGTTTGAGAGGAAAGAGCAAGTATGGTGGAGTGGAGAGGGAGATATGCACATGGAAACGTTGCCTGTAAACCTGAGGTTCCAGGCAGAGACCCAGACTTGAGACGTTTGGGAGTCTTCAGCCTAGAGGTGGCACAAAACCCTGAGGTTGGACAAGGTCATGCAAGAGGTGAGGAGAGAGGGGCCGAGAACTGGGCCTAGCCGGCTCCCTATCATTAAAGAGGTCAGGGAGTCAAAGAAGTTGAGGAATTTCCAGTGACGTGAGACAGAAGCCAAGAGCGTGAAGTGGCGGGCGGCAGAGGAGGTCAGCTTCATCAAAGGCTGTTGAAAGGCCAAGAAAGGTGAGGGCTGAGAGCCAGCACTGGATTCGCCACCACATGGTTGTCGAGTAGTTAGCCCAGGGCTTGGAAGGAGGCTGGACAAAATAGGACAAGTCACCTGTCCTGGGAGCTCTGGGTCTGGAACCAGACTGCACCCCATCTACAGGCCCTTTCTGGATCTGTGCCACACTTGCCTTCGTCCTGGCCGTTACTGGCAACCTGACACTGGTGCTGGCCCAACAGAGGGACCCCTCCATCCACTACAGCCCCCAGTTCCACAAGGGTAAGCAAAGTGGGCAAGGCCCAGCACCTGGTGGGGCAGTCACCATAGGGCCCCGGGGTCACAGAACTATCTGCCTTGCCCTGCAGTGACCGTGGCTGGCATCACCATCTACTGCTACGCCTGGCTGGTGCCACTGGCGCTGTGGGGCTTTCTGCGGTGGCGCAAGGGTGTCCGGGAGCGCGTGGGGCCCTTCACCTTCCTGGAGACCGTGTGTGTCTACGGCTACTCGCTCTTTGTCTTCATCCCAACCGTGGTGAGTGCGGCCCAGGGGTCGGGGCAGCAGGTGCCATGGAAACACACTTGTTAGTCAGCTGCCCATGTCGCCCCCAGGTTCTTTGGCTGATACCTGTCCCATGGCTACAGTGGCTCCTTGGGGCGCTGGCTCTGGCACTGTCAGCCACTGGCCTAGTGTTCACCCTGTGGCCCATCGTCCGTGAGGACACCAGGTTGGTGGCCTCTCTGCTGCTGTCTGCCGTTGTGCTGCTCCATGCCCTCCTGGCCATGGGCTGTAAGGTATGGGTCTGGGGTGGTCATGGCTGGACCTTGGGGTCAGCTTGCTGGCCCTGATGCTGACCCCAGGTGGGTCTTGGTTCAGTTTTATTTCTTCCAGTCGCTGCCTCCAGTGCACGTGGCACCTCCACTTCAGGCCACATCCCTGCCTCCAAACGTACTCCTGATATCCACCCTGCCGAGGACCATGGCAACTTAGGAAGGCCCAAGTAAGGAACTGTTTCCAGCTATGGCATAGGGGCTTCCAGCTCCCTTCCCTCTCCCCTTCCCTGGCAGGGTGTGACATCACAGGGCCACTGCTAGGAGTCTCTCTCTTTCAGGTCCAACCTGAGGAGATACCTTTGCCTGCCCTTCCCCCCAATGGCTGAAGGCCCTTTGACACTTCAAGATCACTCTGCTACTTTCCAGACTTTTCTTACAAAGCAAACACTTTTATTTTCTATGCAAAGGTGATTCAGAGAATTTATATAAAGGCGGGAGAGGGGTGGCTGAGCAGGGAGCTTCCAGTGCAGTTGTCACCCCATGGGCCACCTGCTGGGCCTTCTGCTTCCCCTGACTTGGACAGGCAGAAGAGCAAATGGGGCCATCCCAGCCTAGCCAGGACTGCCTTCCTGTTGGAGACAGGCACCCAAGGATGTGGCAGTGGCTGCTCCCTGCCACCCAGGGTGCCCAGTTAGCAGGGCCTAGCCTCAGCTCCAGCACATCCGATTTTGGGGGTGTTAGAAAGGGGGAACAGAAATAGAAGAAAATTGCCTGTGCTGAAACATACATTTCCTTGTTTATTTTTTTCTATTTTTTGGAGGGAAAGGTCCCTGCAAAACCCCTTCCCAGGCTGGGAGGGGACCAAATGCCATCATCATAGTAGGGACTGGAACATCTACAAATATTGAGGGAAATACATAGGCCTAATGTTAGCTACAAGGAAAAAAAGACTCCTTCCATGACAGATCCTTGAGGTTTCTGCGTCTGCCCCCAATGGCTGACAGTGACCCGCCCCTCCAGGCCCACAGGCCATCTGTTTTGGTGAGGTTGGGGAACCCGCAGGGGCTCAGGGACAGGACAGCAGCAAGAGGCAAGGGCCAAGGACGGAGGGCCTTCCCGACAGCTGGGGTGGGTTGTACATTCAAGTGTGAGGTGAACCCTTTTGTGGGAGGGGGCTGGGGGCTGCACAGGCCTGGCCCCACTCTGTCCTGAAGACCCGGCAGGGCTGCCCCTCACCACTAAGCCTCTGAGTTGGGAGAGGGGCTGCTGGCTCGGCCCGGCCGGCCTGGTTTCTCAGAGGGTCTGTGGATTGACACTGGTTCTTTTCGTAAAAAAATAAAATTAAAAAAAGCAGCATGTCACGCCCATTGTGACCAAGGCCTGGTAGTTGAAAGGGAGGCCCTGCCTAGCCAGGACTGCCATCCTGCTGGAGACAGGCAAGGGGCAGGTGCCCGAGGATGGGGTGGCGGCTGTGCCTTGCCACCCGCCCCACAGGGCCTGCAGCTGTCAGGCCTGGACACGCCTGTTACGGAAGATGTTAAACCGGGGGCACGGGGGGACAGAGCTCCCACAACATGATCTTCTGTAAAGTACGGCAGCGACACACGCTCAGGGCCAAGATGTAGGTGGATGGTGGGGCAGGGGTGGCGGCGGCAACATTGTGTAAAAAAGTGTCCGAGTTCCCATAGCAAAGAGGGCTGTGACCGGTGTTTGGGCTTCTCCAGTACAGGGGTGAAAGCCGCCGGGGTGGAGGGGTGGGTGGGCAGGTCTTCATTTGGTTTCCTGGTGCTGTCAGTCTGGTCCCCGCTGGAGGGGCCTAGCTCCCGTAGTGCATGGTGTTGGTTGGGATGGACATGGGCGAGGCCATCGAGATGGCGGGGCCACCCATGGTGAACTGGCTGTTGACCGCGTAGTGGGCACTGGAGCTGCTGCCACTGCTGCCCTGGGCGCCGGAGGACCCTGTGGGGCGGGGCATGAACACTGAGGACCAGCTCAGCCCCCTCGCCCGCCCGGCCCCACAGCAGAGTCAGAGGGAGAGACAGAGCAGGCGAGAGGGCAGGTGGGCCACCCAGCAGTCATAGCGCTCACTCCCGTGGGACCCGCTCCCTCCATTACCTTGGACAATCCCTGTGCTCATTATGGAGCCCATCCGGGAGTGGGTGTGATTGACAATCCCCGTGTTGGCTGCGCAGCAGAGGGAGGAAGGAAGGGAGACGATGTCACCGCCCCCGGCTGGCCCCGGCCCACGTTCTGCCCGCAGTGGGCGCTCCCACTCGCGATTTCACACCAGGGCACAGGGAGGGTGGACACAGCGGTGGCAGAGTGAGGCAGAGAAGAATGGAGGACCTCAGCCAGGAGCCCCAGGAAGAGGAAAAGGTGACAACAGCGATGCTGATGCAGAAGGTCCAAGCACGTGGGCCGTCCCTGGCGGCCTTCCCCCACAGCACCCAGTCTGGGCGACACTTACCTAAAGGAATCAGGTTGTTGTGGCCCACACTGGAGCCACCGGCGATAACACTGCTCAGGTCATAGGCAGTCGGCATCCCTGTGCCCAGAGAGGGAGATGTCAGGGGTGGGGACAGTGTCCTGTGCGGAGTGCAAGAAGCCAGAACTGCCAGCTTTGCCCAGGGAGCTCTGGCAGGTGTGACCAAGAAATGACCCTGCCCACCCACCCCAGCAGCACAGGGGTGACTGCTCACCAGCCACGGCCATCCCACTGCTGAGGTTGTACGTGCTGCCTGTATTCCACATGTTCTCTGAGGGGGACGTGTAGTGAGAGCCAGGCGGGGGCGAGGGCGTCGTGCCCGTGTACCTGCAGCAGACACGGACCCGTGGGCAGGGCAGAGGGGCTGCGGGCCCAGAAGGTGCCCCCCATGCAGGCCAAGTGCCCACCCTACCTGAAGAAGGGGTTCTTCAGATCCAGGAGGTTACTGGATTTGGAGCCTGTCTGGTCTACCTGGGCCACAATACTGATGTCGTAGCTCTGTCTGTGGAGAGGGCCAGGGAGGGTGGCCATGAGCGAGTTGGGTAACAGAGCCCTGCCTCCCTCAGCCCCCGGTGGCAGCTCATACCTTTTGTTGGCAATAAGCAGACATGTCCCTGAGAGCGTGTCCCCGGCCTTGGCAAACAGTGGTGACTGGAACAGGCACCGGACCTGGTACCAGTGGGTCAGGGGCTCCGTCGGGGCCGTAGATAGCCACACGGTCATTCTGCCGAGCAAGGACAGGCACATACTTGACGGCTGGAGCCACCACCCTGTGCACCTTGAGCTCTCCTCAGGTGTCTGCCCCATTTCATGGATCCCCCAGGGCCCTGGAGCTAAGACAGGCTGGCCACACAGGCCACTACACACACACACATAACACACATGAGGGGAACACAGCCGTGGGGCTTCCATCCACCCTGACACACATCTCATAAAGGACAGTCACTCAACAGGGTAAACACACTCCCTCAATAGTCAAAGGCAATCTCTCACTGCCATTTGGAAGGGACAGGAACCTGGAGGGGTCCCCAGCTCAGCTTCCAAACCAGCCGGGCCCAGGGTTCACAACTGCAAGCAGGTCCCGGGGCTAGGACAGCAGGCTCTGCTCTATTGCACTCACATGGAGCCAATGAACGCGACGTCAAACCAGAAAGCCAGACCATGAACCAGCCCAGAATGCAGCATGTGGAATTTGAATGGGATTTCTATCCTGGAAGGCAAAAGACAGTGATTGCTGGGGAAGCTGAAGAGGGGTTGGCAGGTGCAGACTCCCAGACCTGGGTCTGCCCACCTGCACAGTGGAATGTCCGTGGGAGCCAGCAGTGGCCCAGGAGAAGGGGCATAGGGGACGGTACCTGTGCAAATCCCCTTCTTTGGCTTCTAAGAAGTTCACCGTGTACTTCACAGACTTGGCCATCAGGATCCGGATGTCAAATGTGTCCTGAGAGAGACCACAAGGTGACCTGGCTTCAGGCTTAGGCAGCGAAGCAGGGGAATCCTGTCTCTCTCCTTGAGTCTGGCTACATACAGCTTCTAGGCCAGGGTCCCCACCCCCCGGGCTGCGGGCCGGTAGCAGTCTGTGGCCTTTTAAGAACTGGGCTGCACAGCAGGCAGTGAACAAAGCTTTATCTGTATTTACAGCCACTCCCCAGCCTCAGCTCCATCTCAGATCATCAGGCACTAGACTCTCATAGGAGCACCGATCTCGTGCCAAAAAATTTGGGGACTACTGCTCCAGGCCATTCAGCTCAAACCAGTTTGCCCTTCTTAGATATGCTGGGGAAGGATGAATTGGTACCTCATGGGGGACAATTAGATGACAGCTCTCAAAATGACAAGCGTTCATACACATTAAAGACCTAGCCGTTCCACTTCCAGTTCAACCTACATGTGTACACATGTACAAACTCACACATGTAACTAAAGTAGCGACACTGGAAATCATCTAATTAAACCAGCGCTGGCCTCCATACAAGGCTGTGCGGACATGAAAAAAAATGAAGAAGCTCTTTGTGAACATACAGGGAACGATCTCTGAGATAAAGTGTTGAGCAAGTCCATGAAAAGGCAAGTTAGTTAGAGAACTGTGCTGCTGTCCATTCCCAGCTACGATGGAGATTTTCATTAGACAAACACTCCTCCCCAAAACTATGAGCCAAATAAAATAGTTGTTTGAAAGCACTGGAGAGAGACTGCAGGAGCCACGGCTTTGGGGACCAAGATCCGAGAAAGAAGGGAGATGCTTTCTGGCCTGCGCCTTTTCCCCTTGGGATGGGACATTTCAGCAGCCTCCTTGGGTGGGGAAAGCAAGGTGGGGGCTCAGGGCTGCCAATGCAGTTGGGACTCAAGGGGCCAATGCGCTAAAGAAAAGGGAAATGTGGGACTGTGAGGTGGGCGTTCACCATATATCACTTTGTAGCATTTGCCAATTCCTGAGCTGTGGGATGGGGGTTAGAGGCCAAGAAACCAAGCAGAAAGCCACTCCTGAGACACTGAA